TTAAAATGAAAAAAGTGAAATCGCAATCAACCACCCCTTTAAGCACCCTGTCTGTAAATATCAGGTCATTCACTTCACCCTCTCTACGCCAATCCCTAGTGGTGTTCCACAGGGATCCATTCTCGACTCTCTTTTGTTTTCCCTCTACTTGCTACCTTTAGGCTCAATATTGCACAATTATAGCATGATTTATCACTGTTATGATGACAACCTCCATATATCTTACAATCAAACCAGGAAATGAATATTCATTAGATAATCTCTTCACATTCTTAAATGAAGTCAAGACCTGAATGACAAGTTAACTATGAAACTCTTGCAACTGAATGGAAATAAAACCGAACCGAAGTGCTTCTACTGGGTCCTGCTGCTACCAACCATTCCATTAAAACACAGTTAGGTTCCTTTAAATAACAACCTACACAATCATGCAAAAAATCTTGGAGTCTGTTTTGATCCTCTTCTCCAAATTGTCAAGCATATAAAGGCAGTTGTAAAGAGTAGCTTTTTTCAACTTCAACCCATAGTAAAAGTGAAAAACGTTCTTTCTAGTAAAGACCTTGAAATTGTGATTCATGCACTAATTTCCTCTCAATTGGATTACTGTAGCTCTCTGTAAATTGGCCTAACTCAAACTACACTGCCTCGGTTGCAGATGGTTCAAAATTCAGCAGCCAGATTGCAGCGACAAACGACGACGACAAGACTTCAACAAAAAATCGCGAAAATGGAGCGTAACACAATCAAAGACAGCCAGTAAGAACAGATCTCCAGCTCACTGCAGCAGGTAAAAATAAAAACATAGGCCTACCTCTTCATGCCAGTCGTGATTCTTCAGTGGACATGTTTTGATTTTCTTTGTGTAGCAACTTATCCGAAATATAATATCATCTTCCAGAATCCACAAACAATCCCCGTCTGTTTGACGGTGTGGGCGGGGCTACCTGTCGTGACGCCATAAGAAACATAAAATAAAATTGAGGTCTTCTTATTAAAGCGTTTCGCGATTGTCTTTCCTTTCATATTGTGACATATCCGAGTGAAATGGCTTTTCGAACAATAAAAAAAGAGTTGGCTACAGAACACACATTTAGGGAGGATGGCCATATAGGCTAAGTAACATAAATCCAGAAATATATAGCCTAATGAATGAATGAATGAATGAATGAATGAATGAATGATAAAGAGAAAATAAAAATTAGCTTAGAATACTAACATAGTTCTCACAAAAAAATACAGTGTGAGCAGAGTTTTAGAAGCTTTTTTGTAACAATGGATACATTTAATACAAATCTTAATATCTCATTGAAAGAGAGAAAAATGGGGGGAAACATTTATAATCTTTTGTTTATTAAGCAATTACTAATTAAATTACAAAGAAAATAAACATTTCCATTTCCTCTCAAAAGTGAAATGAAATCTACAATGAGCTGGCAATTATCTTGCTGGAGTTCTTTTGACAGACAAAAAAAAAAAAAGAAGCAAGACAGTTTATGGTTGTGAATTGCAAGTTCAATTCACATATAGGCTACTCAATTTAAATTTTGAGGTAGGATAATACAGATGAATATGTTGAAAATACATGTATTTAATAATAGATGCTTGTTTGTAAGAGTCTTCTTCTATCTTGAAACGACATCATTAAGAAATATGAGACATATATTTGTCTATTATGTCTATGCCTATTATTTTTTGATGTGCATGATTTAATCTTCCTCAATACAAGTGAGTCAGTCTGGGAGAAAATTTCAAAACTTGTCAAAACTTTATTATAACATTTAAATAGCATAATGAGTGTTACGAGGTTGTCCAAGCCTCGCACCAAAAAGTCTTCAAAGAAAAGTGCAAGTGGGAGAGGAATTTATTTTGATTAAAAAATAATAAGGATGAACACAGAAAAAAAAAAAACATTTAAATGAAATGCTGCAATATTTCATATTCAAAAAAAAATTGTCCATTTTGATTTCATTGTGACTATATAGACAGCTGATAAAACAGACCATCATTTTGGTGAAAAAATGTTAGAGCTGCAGAAAAGCAACAAGTTAATGGATTTGACCCTTTACACATTTCCAGAAGTCGTAGTTGCGTAAACTTCAAGTTGGGTGAATGAGATAATACATTATATACTATATATATATATATATATATATATATATATATATATATTTGTATGTATTTAAATCTATAGATACATATATAGATATTTTGAAAGTAGCTTCTGTTCAGAGGTTGTATAGTGTTCAGTTCATAAAAGTACCGAAACCACATGGAAAGATGTTTTATTAACAAAGTTCGGGAGGAACACATTTAAATGATCTATCCAATCAGCACAAGAGGAGGCCTAAGCCTACTGTATATACGCAGCTGACTCACCATATGTTCCTCAACAATTTTCAGCATGATACCACCAATCCTTCTCCTCACACTTTCCTGGTACTATCCTAACCAGAGATACGGGGGGACTCTGGGTTCAAGCTCAGAGCTGTCCTCTCCTTGGACAGCATGCCAAATATGCATATTTTTTTTACTGATTTTTCTAATTATCACTCATAAATGATAAAGGGTGTAAGACATGCCACAAGCGTTGGTAATTAGAGAATGCCACAAGATACAGAGATGCTTGTTTTGCCATTATATTGCTACTTTTATTATAGCCATTGACTGAATAACAGGGTGCTCTGCACCTGATTGATGATTGGATCTGATTTCACATAGAGCGGCCTATTATTGGCCAAGAGAGACAGTGACATCTTAAGGAGGCTCTTACTATGGCAGAAAACACAGAGCATGTGCCAGCTCACTGGAACTGACTGACATGTTGCCTGGCAACAGGAACTTGAGGGACATCATATCACACGACTGTGTTATATGTATGCAGATATGTAATTGGAGTATTTTGTAACACACTCCCGTCACACATGTTATTTCTCACACAGAAAAAGCTATTTATAATATTTTTAAAATGCCGCAGCGCCCAAAATTTCTCTGGCCATGCCGCTCTTACTATGGAACCAGCGACAGGAATCAGGTGTGTCTGCCCTAGAGTTTTGTCAAGCCTGCCACTTATCAGCCAATCAAAAAAAAAAAAAAAAAAAAAAGAAAGGGGCTCCACAATAGCCAATCAGAAAATAGCACTATTGTATCTGGGTAAAATTTAACGCAACAACCAATGAAAAAAAGCATATCCTGGAATTGTTCACGTGATCCTGCTACAACATTTTCCGAAAGTTTCATTCACCCACAGAGGAAACCATTTGAGCTCAGAGTAAGTCATGATCTCCTGTTTTAATTCTCCAGTCCGTAACTTTTTGGGGTTCAAAATTATCCAAAATAAATTTTTTGGCAAGTACATATAACCAGCCAGTGTTCAAATCTGCTTTCCTTAGCTCGATTCAAAACTGTAAGGTTTGTTTTTAAATCCAGTGGTACTGGTGGATTTCCACTGGAGATTTGAGCATGTCTTTGTGTCATTACGTCACATCTAAAGGAGGAGTCTCGGCTAGTAGGCAATATTGTGTGTGAGGATGCTGAAGGTGGAGATTTATAGCCTTTTCTCACAGCACTTGATATAATTTAACTTATTAATTTGATGGCAGATCTAGAAAGGTTCAAACGACAATCACCAGTGACAACAGAGTCACCCGCTGTAAAATGAAAAAGACTTTTGGACTTCGGAGTGGTTACAGAAAAAAGAGACTGCAACCGGATCCATGCGAAAACAAGGAAACTCCACTTTTTTGGGGAAATAGGCTCATTTTACAACTCCCCCAGAGTTAAACAGTTGAGTTTTACCGTTTTTGAAACAATTCAGTGGATTTTCTGATATTAATAAGAATATCAGTAACCAGACAGTTTCTGGTCTCATTGGCTTGCATTGTATATTTTTTCCTACTAGGGATTTTTGCAGAAGAAAATATTTTCTTCTGCAAGTGTGAGCAATTATTAAAAATAATAATAATATTATTATTAATGAAACACCCCATTCCCGCCCGTAAAATACATCCAGCCCGCCCCCACTTTGAGGATGTGTCACTCCTGCCTGCATGTCTTCAAAATTTGAGAGCCCTGATTATATTGATTGGAGGAAATTACCATGACATTACACAATTCATATCTCAAATATAAGCATTAATATTTATTATCTTAAGTCAACATGGTATTCATAATCATAGAGATATATTATATTCATGTGGGTTATATGAGCCTGAGAGAAGTGTGAATTTTATGTCTTTCTAAGGGTGTTATTAAGCACATCCTTATCATCTTGCCATAGTGTGCAGGTATGTGTCAGGAGCCTGTAAAACTGGTCTTACTTTAACCTGCTGAAAGCGAGTCACTTTATCACAGGAATGCAAACACTCTTGTCCTCAGGAAGAGCAGATTTGTAATGTGTGTCACTGTGTGTGTTTGCTCATTAGCGTACCTTACACTATAGGCAGTTAAATGGTTATGGTATTAAAAATAGACTGTGCTTATTTGAAATTCATTACTGAATAAAAGGAACAAAGTAAAAGGATGATAAATAAACGTAGGAGGAACTTCCACAAAAAAATAGCAAGAGGACAGGAAAAGGAGGTATGTGTTGGAGGTCTTAAATTTTCATGCTTCACATCAGCTGCCAGAGTTGCAGATAATGGTCAGGGTTGTCATAGCAACCCTGGAATAAAAGGGAAAGTATCTCATGGGTCACGTATGGCTGTTACTTCCTGTCTTGTAGACACACACGATGATCTCAGCCTTTTCTGTACATTTATAGGGGCCATTAATAAACACACACCCATTTAACACTTCAAACAGAAACGTGTTGCTTGCCATATAGCTGGTCAGATATGTGAGAAATGTTTTTAATAAGCTCCAAAGAAGCCATGCTGGAATTAAAATCTTTATTTCTCTGCATAAAAGAATGGAAAAAGTACTTCAGAAAGCATATACTAAAGTTTTTTTTTTTTTTTTGCCAGTTATGAAAACCTGAATAATGCAACACACTTTTAAATCCATCAAGAGGAAAAACTCTTATCTTTATTTAGCCATGAATTTCACATTGTGAAAAAAATCACTTGTACAAAATAATGTTAACCGCAGTGGTTGAGATAAAATAATACAATTATATAACACTACATATAGAAATGAAAAGAAAAATGACGCCCACAAAAACATGAGTACAGGCCAACATTGACAATGTTTTAGCAATGCATCTGTTCGTGAAGGCATACAGCGTTTAAGAGTTCTCAATGCACACAGACTTATGAGTCACTTCTGAATCAATCTTTCACTTGAGCAGGAAGACAGGGGGAAGAAGGGAGGGCAAAGAGGTAAGAGGGAGAGAAAAAAAACAACACTCGACTATTACCAGTTCAAATGGAGAGGGGAGCAATGATTGTTGACCATTGCTGTGGCAACTGTGCTATGTGAGGGGGGGCAGAACGGGGTTTTCTGATTGGCTGGAGGTCAGAGTGTGCAGTGTTCTGTGAAAAGGTATTTTGGAAGAGGGAGGGGAGGGGGGGGGGGGTTCAAAGACCCTAAAGGCCAAAGGCAACTTTAAGCAAGAATTTTCTGGAGGAGATGAGAGAGTTTATGGGAGGAACATGAATCCCTTGCTACCATTTTCTCTCTCATGGATTTTAATTCAATTTGAACAAATATATATATATTCTATTAATTTAAAGCCATTTGATTAGTTTGAAGTATGTAGAACAGCTATAACATAGCAAACTGTCAGTGTTGTTATTCAACCCAAAAGTCACCGTGTAGCACCACGGTGAAGATTAAAACGGATCATCTCTACAGGCAAAGCGTTTGGCATCGACGTGAAAGCACTATGGTCTGTGCCCTTATGCAGACACTTGGGATCTAGCTTTATCATTACACCATTGTGGTCATCATCTTTACATTTGGCTGATTAAATAATCACTTTGTTATGCCACAAACTGTAGCAACGAACAACCACTCTTAAAATAAAATTCTTTAGTGACAACTAGGATTTTGTGACCATTTTAACACCAATTGAACTGTTTCAATGCACAAAAGGTTCTTTGGTAATAAGATTATTAAAATGTTCTTCACTCTAACTTTTTGTCTACATGGGGCACTGCGTCACAACAGCTTGAGTCTGTCTACACTGACTACGCCAAAGCACAATTTCTGAATCCATTCGGACTGTTGTTGGAAGTAGTGCACATGCACAGAGTATGTTCAGAACGAGGCATTGGTTTACTGTCTGTCACGTCACATCCAGTGTAGACAGCATCTCTTTTTACAATGGTCTATATTTGCTTACGTCGAGTTGCGCCACTCATGTCCAGTGTAGACATGGTGTAAGAAAAAGAAAAAAAAAACTCTTTGAAAAGTTCTTAGGGGAATCCAAACCGGATCTTCTGTAGCATTACGTTTATTATTAAGAGTGATCCAGCAAGGTGTCTGCGACATATTCCTAATCCAATCATAATGTTCTCAGTACAGCTGAACTGTCAAAAGGATCAGTCAAAGTTACGACGTTCTTGTGACGGTTCCAGCTGTTCTGAGAGCAGCTGCATACGTCACATTCCCCAGATGACTCTACATGATCCTTTCAGCCCACAGAGACCGCAAGGGGTCAGCCTGAGCTCCAGACCTGAGAGAGGCAGGGGAACAGAGGCTGCATACTGGAACGAGTTTGGCATGGGGTCCCTAAGCACGGGTCGAAAGCACTTGCTAAACTATGCTGATGTTGTAGTAGATGAAACTTAATGCTTTTTAATGGTGGTTTGATGTCCAATTATTCTGTATAAAACAGAAGTTGATGCAGTTCTGTGCACCATTACAACCAGATGGATTCTTGATCTGTGGTTTAAGAACAAATGGTGTTTAACTTCAATTAAATCATTTAAAGAATCTGGATAGTTCACCCAAAAATGACAATTCTAAATCTTATCTGACGTGACAATTTTCATTTTTGGGTGAACTGCCAACCCAGTTTGAAGAATTTTCCTTGCCGTCCCCTAATCTCTCGAAAACACTTTCCCACTCCCCCATCTGCTGACCTGCCCACTTGCACCCAGGGTAATCTGAGGCTGTGACATCATTCGGCCCATTCTTATCCTGTCAAAAACCTTTGACCCCCCAAGCCTCCCTGTTTTTGATCAGATGAGCAAGAGGCTCAAGCGTTCGCTGACCACTACAAATTCCAACTGCTCAGTCAAAATATGTGCAAAAAAGCAGCAGGAACACCGAGCGTTTTGGGCCATGCGTGGGACAAAAACCTGTTAACTTCTATACATCCAAACATGTATGCAAGCCAAAAAAATAAATAAAAAAATAAAATAAATAGAAATGATACACAATGGAAAACAAAAAGCTTTAAAAAACCCTCATAAAATTAAGACTATTAATAGACACTGAAATATTTAAGCCAGGCAACCAGTTTCTTGCACTTTTCTCGTTATCGTCTTTTTTTTTTTTTTTTTTTTTTTTTACAGTTTAGTTGTTGTTGCCATAGAGACTGCATTCCCTCACGGGGTGACGAAATGGCTCTCACATTTTCTCTCTCTCCTTCTGTCATTCACGTTTACCGTGACTGTATGTGCTTAGAATAGTACAGGCAAAAACAGTGAAGCAGAAGTGTCTCGCACAATTCGAGTTTTGTGCAGGAGAATCTTGAAATTAAAGTCGGTCAGTGATCACAAGCTGGAAGGATAGTGTTTGTTGTTGGTTTCTGAGAGGGCATGCTCACGCTGTTTGTCGGGTGTTTATTTTGGAGGGGTTGGGGGTATGATCGGGGTCAAATGGACTCTCGTTCAGACTAACATGCTGGGACATGCCTCTTCCGCGCTCAGTCACATATGCACAGCTTACGCGTGTACCTTGGGACACACTGTGCCCATGTCTATTTTCACACCAAGCTGCAAAGGTTTGTTCAACAGGAACAGTTCAGCATTAGTCTGTCCTTCTTGTACAGACGTGTGAAGGACAAATACGTAAAAAAAGGCTCTCATGTTTCCTTCTGTCCTTTTTATTCTTTAAACCAGCAAAATATTACGTTTAGCCCACCTCAGTGTCTCTCCTTTTGAGCAAGTTCAATTTAACATCACCATGGGAGAAGAAAAGGTATATACATATCAGGATGTGAGGTACTTTTCCTGGAGTATCTTAACATCTGCTGCAATCATGGGTTGAGACTCCTGTCGATCTTCCCAATCAAAAACTTCCACTCATCCTTCATGCAGTATAGAAATTAAGACAGGCATACGGGTCTATTTTAGCTTGTATGGCATCAGCATTGTACATAAAAAAACCCCAAAAAACAATCAGAGTACACCAACGTGGGGGGACGAAAGTGATGATGATTATGCTGTTTATGATGGAAGCAGACTGGGCTTTCAGGATGCATCGCAGCTCTTTTGGTTTTCACTGTGAAGCCCATGTTCTGATACTTTAATAATCAACAAAATGTTGGATACGACATCACGAAGTTCTTAAAACTTCCAAGCAGAAGTTGAGCGAACTTGCAGCAGAAAAAGGCTTTGTGACTGGACTTCGTGCACAATACTTAGCTCTTATGGGAGAAAGTCTTTTTGTAAAATTGCACAGGAGGGTTATAGCGTTTCTTCACAGTTAGAATCCAGTAGACAATAACGACAAGGACACAAGGAACTCTGTGGAAAGAAAAGACAACAAAAACATTAGAAATGTATATTTCTATTGAGTTTTTTTTCTCTCTCATTATGCTACTTTTGAAAAAAATAACACCGAAAACTTCACATTTACGCATTTCAGAAAATAATAACATCTCATAAACATAGTTCCAACATTGACTTTTATTTCTGATCGTTTCTTTTTCCCAAACAAAAGGAGACGACAGGTCAGACCCTCACACCTGTTCAGCAGCAGATACAACCCAAAATAAATTACACACAAAAAAACTGTCTGCATTCAGTCACATGATTGGTGGTATTAAGTTAAGAAAGAAGCATTTAGGAACCTAGATCACAACTAAATGTAGTGCAACAAAAGCTTCCTCTTCTGTCTATTGGTGCACCAAATGCGATTTTTCCATTTTTTTGCGTTTTACAGCCTTAAGCTTCTGCAAAAGCCAATATCTATTCTTGAGTCACGTATTCTTTTTTCTCTCAGGGTTTCCATCTCGAAATAAGAGAAAAAACACAGTGAAGGTGATCATTTGAAAGCAAAAGTCACCCAGAGCATCAAAATGAAGTCGTTAGCATGCATTCTCCCTCTCTTTTCCTTCCCAAATCCCACTTTCTTGTTTTAAGTTAAGCATAGGTCATATAAATGACAATAAAAGGCAACAGAGCCCTGCAGTTACAGAAGAAACGCTTGCCAATTAAAACAGAAGCCCAAAGAGACTAGAAGGGGGCAAAACCAAATCCATCCCTCCATCGATCCCAGGGCCTGCCGGGTGTAGATTCTACAGAGCTGTTTTTGAAGACAAAATGTTCAATGAACCATGGCACTTCATCTAAGCAGCATGAAGCTGACGGTGAATGAACACAGCTTAGTCTAATGACCAACTCAAGCATGGCATAAACACACACACACGCGCTTCACTTTTACCATGGTGAATGATTTCCATTGATGACTGTTGTTTTTATATTGAGCGAGTGATATTTTCTGTCTCTAGCCTGTACCTGTCCTTTCAATCTTTCTTTGCGGGGTCTCCACCCAAAAAATTTGGCAGCATAACCGTTTTCAACATTGATAATAATTATAAATGTTTGTTGCGCACTAATGGTGCATTCACATGCTATGGAAAATATTATATTTTCCACTTGTGAACTGGTATTTACCAGTGTGTTGCGTTCAGGTGCTTTTGTTGTCGTAATGTGGTAAAAAGATGGCAATCCAGACCTGTTATATAGTCAAAATTATTTTAGATTGCTTAAGTCATCTGCTACAGCAAGAAAATGATTTATCAAAACTCAAATGGTAAATAATATGCTGTTTATATATATTTTCTAGATCATGAATAGTACATATTTTTCCATTCACGACTCTCGTTGCGAGAAAGAAAAGGTCAAAGGTTATCTCATCTCGGCAACTCGAGCATCAAAGTATTCTACGAGTTGCCCAGTGGAAAATACCTCATGAGGGGGTGTTCATGTGCATTTTCCATGTCAGCTTTTGGCATTTACCATAATTACCATAGCACGTGAACGCACCATAAATCAGCATTAGAATGATTTCTGAAGAATCGCATGACACTGAAATTCACAGGAATAACATTGCATCGTAAACTAGAAAAGTTATTTTCAATTGTAATAATATTTAAAATATTACCTTGTACAGAATTTTACAATTCTGTAAAGAATTATAAAATTCCCCCCAAAAGTAGTGCAACATTTACTAGTACTACATTTAAAAGAGGTCAAATATTGACATACTTCAGTCTTCTTATATTTTTCTTTTAAAACAATGACTTAGATTTTGAAAGTTTGACAAAAATAATTCCATATCATTGATCCTCTTTCCAAAGTGTTGAAGATTGAGTTTGAATTGGGGGGCATACAGAGAGAGGGAAAAGATAAGGGATACAGAGAGCAGTGTGTCTATGCATGTAGGAAAAGGGAGAATCTTTGTAACCAGATGCATTCTCATGGGAGAGAGATAGCAGGAGTTTTGAGTGTGAGAAAACATAGCCAGTCAGAGAGAACGAAACAGCAAGACTGAAAATCTTTGTTTACCCTCCCTTATCCAGTCCTCCCCCTCATCTCTGTCTTCTCTCTCCTCCCACTCCTCTGGCCAGCAGTGAGGCTCCTCATTGTTAGTAGGGAGGAAGCTTGCTTAGAACACTTCATGGTCTTTTAAATGCATTGGAATGGCTCAGTGAACAAAAGGACGGACCACCACTTTGAAATTAACTGCCCTGCCGAGGTGGGCAGCATTTCACAGGCACACAAAGTCACAGAGACTTTAAAAGCAAAGCTAAATGACCAGCACCAAAGGGTCAGGACTGGAATGAGTGTTTTTCATTGGGGAGGAAGTTAAGTTGGTGTAGAGCTTGTTTAGTCTACTGTCTTGTTTGGTTGACTGTCAGGATTTAGGGGTTATTCTGTTCTCAGTGCACCTTTCATGGCAGAGAAGAAATTACTGTATAAAATATTAATTTCATTGAGGCAGAGATAAATCTTTGTATTGTTTGGTGCTTTCATTCAGAGAGTAAAGAAAACTCTTTTTTTGTTTTGTCTCTTTCTTTTTCCCCACAATATCTGACTCTTTTTGAAAATGTTCTGATAAAATATGAAAAAAAATTGTCTATCCGTTGTCCTTTGTTTTCAATGAAATACTCATAACATATATGCATCCAGTTTGAGTTCAGTTTTGCCCTCCAACTCACATCCCAATGTGAATTACAAGGATTTTAGCACAATGTAACATGACAATTAACAGAACCCAAACCCTTTATGGAAAACAGCTATATGACTCATTTGATTTACCTGATCTCACTCACTTGTATAGATTGCTTCGCTTCAGAGTAAAACATGCATGAGTCACGCCATGATTTCCGATTAAAAAAAAAATCATTTGAATCAACAACAGCGTGGGATTAAGCTGATGTCTGATCTCCCACGACAGTTATGAATCTATTGAATTCATTTTTGTTTTGCCACACACTTTTATCAGTGTACATTGACTAAATTCGTTTAAATGAAACTTGATTAAACCAGCACAAAGGTACAAGTAAGCTCACATGCATATCCATCAGATTACAGCAATTAATTTGTTTTAGTCACACACACCTCAGTCCGACTTGGTGTCATTGAACTACCAAGATAATGCGATTGTAGCTCTGCTTCATCCAGCATGTACACACATTAAGGTGTGGTCACATTAGCAAAATTGCGATAGACATCATTCATTTCTTTTGGTCAATCTGGCGAAATCTGTGTGGGGAAAACGTTCCCTTATGCAAAATTGGCTGGATTGGCTGGATTGACTGGATTGACTGGATAAATTCACCAAAAAAAATGGTAAATGTGACACCAACTTTAATCAGAGAGAGAGAGCAGTGATGAACAATATGTATTTAATCATTCATATATTTGATTATGCATTGTGCCAACAAAGATAAAGACTCTAGCTCAACAATATAACAGTCCATTCTGAACAAACTCCATAGTTACTGAACTGTTGTTCAGACTTAATGCATGCTCGCTCCATGTTGTCAACACACTGCTCATCCAAATACACAACACAACACCTCACCTCACCATTACTTTCTCTGCCCTTTCTCAAAGCCCTCCCTCCTTCTCAATTCACCCTACTTCCTCCACCCTTAGACAAATTTCCCCCTCAGGAACAATAAAAGTCTTCTATTCTGCTTCAATTACCCTCGGTGCAACGCCCCTCACTGCACGCTCATAACTCATTCAGCCCTACCGCAAGCTGCCTTCTCAAAACAGATGCACACAAACACACAGTTTTACTTTGGATCTAAATTTTACATGAAGATTTGAATGTGCCCACACGCACATTAAAATTCAAGCTTGAATCTCCAGCTCAAAGATGAAGGTTCTGAATTCTCTCAAGCAAGGATCTCTTTTTTATCTCCCTCCCTCTCCCAGACTGGAGACTGATCAGATACAGCAGAGCCTTCGTATCAGCCAGACCAGAGAGAGCACACAAACACTGCATCAGTGGGCATATCACTGCTGAGAGGTAGATACTGGAAAGCCTGATCCCCTTTTCTGATGCAGTCCTGCTGTGACCAAAGCCTGTTTTCCTGGAGACTGAGAAAGGCCCAATGCTTAACAGCTAGAATTTTTATGGACTCTCAGGAGACGTGACATCTGTAGCAACCCATTATAAAACATCCTTTAGTGCACCAGCTTTGAAAGTTCTCGATTAAAGCGAAACGTTGAGATTGTCACACCTATATATGACAGAAGAATCTCTTCACAGAAAAAAAGGAAAACTGAAAAGAACACCAGACAAGAAAAGAGAAATAATTTAGAAAGCACCAGGGAGCTGACAGATAGAAATAAATATATCTGATTGCATATATGAGCAGAGTTGACCATGTTGATATTAAAAGCATGCTGCCTTCCCATTCTTTTCCTCTCTGACTCCTAACAAAGTCTAATTGCTCTGTCAATACTAAATTTACCACTGATTTTAATAAGGTTCTTTGTCAAAGTATGCGCAATGCAGATCATGGGGGATGAATGAAATCACTATATCCAAATGTAGTGGGCATATCAACAAACAAAGAGCCATGTAACCTTGTACACAGGACTTTTTCAGTGTCAGTACGCTTACAAAGAGGGTAATGTGCATGCCAACCACAACAGTTGGACGTTAAGTTCAGTGAAAATGAATAAATATTATTTGAATATGTTTAATGAGATTCATCCAGCCCATTGTTAATTAGGGACATTGACACTTCCTCTGAAATTCCCTAGAGTTTCATGGCCCATATTAAAATGATACACTATTTTACATAGTTATTTTAGTCTACTGTAAAATAATAATGATTACAAATTTTAAATTAATTTAGGCATCACAACTTTGATTTACAATAAAATATATGAATGGATTTTTATATTTGATGAATATTGCATTTGATGGTGAGATTAAATTATTTGTTTTAAAAGACTAACAATAGTGATTACTGGTATGGTTCCGCTACGTATTGCATTTCATTTTTTTACAAGTCTGGTAATTCTGTTTTTAGATTTACAACCTACCTCATAGGAACAGTAGGGTCACAGAAGGAAGTACAGGAGTGCTTCAGGCTGGGAGGTGTTTCCAGGTGCTGACGAAGGCAGTGGGGATTAAGGAATAAGGTACGGTAGTGATGCTGTTCCAGGCATCGAGCGTAGGGTCATAGCAATCCAGGGTTTTACAACGCTGTGTACCAAAGTAGCCACCCACCACATAAAGTTTGTTTCCAGAGGCCACCGCCTGGCAGCTCATTCGTTTCGCTGTAACATCTCCAACTTTAGTCCACTGATAAGTCTCACTGCTGAATTTGTAGGCAGAGCAAGCAGAGAATTCGGTGTCGCCCCCCATTACAAAGATCTGGTTGCCAAGAACAGCAGCTGCAGTGTAGCGCCACGGCTGCGGGCAGGACGCCGGGACTGTCCAGCGATTTTCTGAGGGATCGTAGCACTGAACTTTGGGCAGCTTGTCATGGGCCACACTCGTCCCTCCGAAGGCAAACAACTTAAGCTTTACGCTGACCACAGCTGCATTACTAACTCCTTCTCGCAGTGGTGCCACCATGCTCCACTTATTAGCAACTGGGTCAAACTGCTCTACCTGCTTCAAGGACACAGATGGCGATGCAGGCAGACAGCCAGTGGCAGCTGTGTGACCTCCGACAACATACAGGCAGTGGCGTAACTCAGCGGAACCGTGACCAAAACGCGCTATCAGCATTGGAGCCGCTTTAGACCATTCCTCCTGTAATGTATCGTACACCCAAACGTCCTTAGACACACCGTTCTCAGAGCCCCGGCCACCTGTCACGTACACTTTGCAGCCGATGGCACAGGCGCTGAACTCTTTTCGTGGGCTGGGGATGTCGGCCTTTGGAATGATCTCTTTGGCCTTCTGGTCCACCAGGTAGAGCTTGTCGCACATAAACGTGGGGCCGCCCAGCAAGAAAAGGGCATGACTGGTCTTGCGGGGCCGGGCGCAAGGACTGTTGACGACGCCGTCGTTTTGCAAGATGCGCAGTTTGCAGCGGATGGCCTCGTCTACCAGCTCTTTGCTTTTAGCCTGTGCGATGATGAGCTCTTCCGTAGAGACGTTCTCCATAAGGAAGATGGCAGGCAGTAGAGCCAGACGGACAGTACGGAGCAGCTCCGGAAGATGACAGTGCCTGCCCTCAAGGTCGTAGTTCACCCAGTTGAGAGCGGACTCGTAGACCAGACGCTCGTCCTCGGTTTCAAGCTCTTCGTGTGCCAGCAGTTGGACCAGCATGTCCTTGGGCAGCTGGAGAAACTCCTCAGTCTTGCAGATAGCCGGGAAGTTACTGAGACACATGCTCCAGGACAGCTGAAACAGCTGGGTGCACTGGTGAGCATCCGAAAGCAGCAGCATGCCCAAGCAATTGGATGGATGGAGGTTCTTCTCCAGGAACTCGGCACAGGCATCACGAATGTCCTGAAACTCCAGCATGTCACCGGCCTCAAGGAGAGACTCCGCATTCTCCTCGTTTATTATTACTCTTGACGAGTAGGCGTAGTCCAAAAGGAGCTCCAATACCTTGACAATGCGGAGTAAAAACAAAGTTAACCTAAAAGTGATAACCTCTCATTTTGTTGCAGTCTAACTACTGCAACATGAGTTAGGCTACTTGAAACCCATCAAGCTATTGTTCTGCAAAAGCAAGTCTGATATTCAAACCCAGAGGTTATCCAAGGTTTCAGAACTCTACAATCAATCATATGATGTAACTTTGAGAAGCGTACAATTTAAAGACACCCCCCCCCCCCAAATATTTTGTCATTTACTAACCCTCATGCATTTCAAACCTTTATAAAACACAAAGGATTATATTTTGAACAGTGTTTTAATGGTTTTGTCCTACAATGAAAGTAACCAGAAAATAATGGACCCCGCTGACTCACAACTTTTGTGTTCCACAGAAGAAAGCCATACAGATTGCCATACAGCCATACAGATGACATTATAATTTCATTTTTGAATGAACTATCACTTCAACACACTTGGACTAGCAATACAATTTTAAATATTACAACAATACCTCTGGATGAATGGAATCCCTGAAGTCCACTTCACTGTCCTGACTTTCTCTCAGCCCTCCGCTAAACATTGCTTCAAAGTAGCGGCTGCAAGCGGCCAGCACAGCCCTGTGGCATGGGAAAGAGCGGTTTCCAGCATGGAGCAGAACATCCGTGAAGAGTCTCTGCTGACGAAGAGCATTCAGGTGCATCAGCACGCTGTCTGCGTACGAGGACTTGTGGAACAGGTAGATGTTCATAGAGCCCGTGCTGGCACGAGACTTGCGGTTCTCGTGGACACAGACAGACATTTTCATTGAATCCTGAAACAAAAAAGAGAGAAATCATTCCATACTTCCATTGACAAAACTAGCATACTGCTGGGCTTTATATCGAGGTATTTAAACCGTTTCAGAAGTTGACTGACATAGTTTTGAACAGTGATATGATCAATATCAGCAAAGCACTCAAAGAGCATGTCAAACCTCAATATGAAGGAAGAGAAAGATGATGTAATTCTGCAAACACAACATAAAAAAACAACTGGAAGCCTCTCTGATGTCTAGCCGACTGGAATGTGAACAAATGAAAGGGAGTCTAATCATTACCAGGTGTTCAAAGGCGGATGGATAAGGAGGGGAAACTTAAGGGGGGGAAAAAAAACTTTCAGAAGTAAACACCACTGCCTGAAATTTACTGTGGAATAGCGAACAAAGATTTGAACACCAGCCACAGAATCAACACTAAGTGTGTCAGTGTCACCGACTGCCATCTGGTAGCCTATATGGTGCACATTCAAATCCAATCAGTCTGAATTTCCATGTAACCGATACACGCCCCCTGGTCCCTGCCGGCTGTCAACATCCCTCCGGGGAGAATTTAATTGTGTTCCTGCTAATGTTGTGCAGAGGCAAAATGTAGTTCTGAACTGAACTAAATACATTAAGGACACAAAAGGAATGGTGATGTATCACACCTGATACAGTCCAATAACCCATTTAAATTGGCCACAGCTGTGAAGTACAAGAGCCAGAAACCCGGTGCTGACATAGGCCATTAATTATTTTGCAACACAGCACTGAAAACTAGCAATGTGAATGACTGTATACATAAAACATAAACAACCACTAAATAACTTACAATAAAATAAAGTGTTATAACAAGTAAATTCTATAAATTCTAAAACTGCGTTTAAATCACCATATATCTCTGTGCCATTAGAAATCTAATTTTGAATGATGACAGATGCCATCACTCAGACACAACACTATTTGCTTTATTTATTATTATACATTAAAACGTAAAAAGTATTATTATTATTATGAATAATCACGATAATATATCCTTGACTTATTTTTTTATTTTCACGTTATAAAACAAACCTTCACCAAAATATTTATTATTATAGAAGAAATTATCTTAGAAATTATCAGACAACCTATAGTGACTAAATAATGCACGAGCATTTAGATTTATGAAAATACAGAATTTTGTTTTATTTTTAAATAAATAATAATTAAAAACGCTTACCTGCTCAGGAGCAATGAATATTTCAGTTCCGTCTGCCCTCGAACATGCCACAACGAGACAGGGACAGTCACAATACTGGCAGCGCTGCGCGCTCTGGTAACAGCGTCCGATGTCGCGTGGATAAACCACAAAATAAACAAATGGAGAGTAATTTCATCCAGATGCTTTTACCGTAAGAAAATTAGCCTACACGTAGTTTGTTATATTGTTACATACAAAACTATTTATTCTATGTTTGTGACTGCGGCGCACAAATACATTTGCTCGTATCGTTATAGAGCAGCTCTCGCGTGCAGGTCTCTCTCTATAGTGAACAGCTGACGGGGTGTGAGCTTTTAGAGGAGGAAGAAAGAGAGGCGGAGCGCTACTGCTCTTTAGGAGAATGTGGGAGGAATACTGCTAAACTGGCAGAGATAAGGAGATTGTTGATGGGGCTCATTAATAGAATAATTAAGTTTTAGTAGCCTGCATACTATGGCTGCATATCACCAGGGGGGTTGTGTGTGAAAGTGTTCAAAATCATTGTACGAATTTATACTATTAATTTCGTAACAAACAGTCATAAAGCGTCAATTTAAGAATGCTGCATGAGGTGAAAGTTATCCAAATGAATAGCAACTTAAGTGGAAATGCTGTGTATTCAAGTGAAAAGCGTTGTTGTTCAATCATCTAGTCTAAACTGCACAAGGAGTTCAGCCTAAACTTTGTTCCTCAATAGTTAGAGATGCACTTCCATGCACACGTTTGGTTAGAAGGTTCAGCTTCAGAGCATGGACTGTCTGCTTCAGAGGTATTATTAAATTTAATTTACGGAACAATGTCGACCCCTGCTGAACAAAAGGCGCACTTGCATTGTCTGCATCATACCCGTAAATGTACTTGCCATAGGTAATTCATTTTGAATGAACAGTTTCAAGATTGGTCTTGGGTCTTACATTAGTGTGGTAGATTAAAGCCCCCCAAGCACCTAGTATGTTTCTTCTCCGAATTTACTCCTTGTACAAAAATCTCACTGGATTATTGCAATTCATGGCAAAATGAATGATTGGAAATATGTAAACTGATAGTGAAGTGTCACTGTCTGGTAGATGGTTCAGTGGTAAGGAACCATACAAAGTGCCAAATACCACCCATTGACCCATTGAAACAGGAAGTGCTTCTGGACCAGTCTTGTTTACATCTTGGTCTATAGAACTATTGTCACTCTTTGAGCTTATTTTTGTGTGTGAAAATTATTGAAAAAATAACTATTTATTATTACATTATAACTGCCCATTTTCCCTAAAGTGAGAATACATTTTTAAACATTGCCTATTTTTTATTTGCCTCATTTGCGTAATGTCGTATAGCCTAATTATAAAATGATCCCACAAATGAGTCTATAGAGAGCAATGTTTTAGAGTATGTTTTAGCATAGTTATTAAATTTGAACTAAGTAAAAACGTACACCCTTCTCTATACAGTTGTTTGCAAGACTGTAAAAAATGCAGCTTAAATTAAAAAAAAGTAGATATTTGAGTACATTGCTTGATATTTGATATATGTTCGAATTAGATTTGTTTTCAAAAGTGACAGCCCTAATGAGGGGTGGACCTTAGTTCTTCTAGATCCAGGGGCAAGAGAAGTTTCTTAAAGTTAAATGCATTAATCTAAATTTTTAGAGTTCAGAAAAGAGCTCAAACCCATTTTTAGCAGGCAGCCTATGAATAGAATCATTAGAAAGGATTGTAAAAAAAAAAAATAAATAAATAACAATAATTGAGAGTAAGTGTATTGTGATTCTCAAAACATTTGCTGACCAAACAATTTCATTAAGTTTAGTAACAACATTAAACAATGTTTACATCAGTTCATTTGGATAAATATCAGGTAGGCTACCTTATAAAGCTACATATTAGTTTTTTTAAGGACACATCTCTCACTAATGGTGTAAGGCTACAGAGAGTTGGTATTATATTAAAGGTTAAAATTAACAAATCAAATATAATGCGTTTTTTATAATAACCTGGAGATACCTGGCCCCAGGGCCTTTACAAGTCATAATCTGTCCCTGTTCACACAATTAACCCTTTTCACACGCGCTCTCGCCACACATGCATTTTCTCACGCAGAGAAAAAAATCACGAAGCAAAGAGGAACACTGACACCGACAGACTAGACAGAGGTTACTTTTGATATGGAACAAAGTCACAGCTCTCAGGTAAATAGGCTAATGCAGTTTTTATTACAACAACGTTATAATATTTTAATGATATAAGTAAAACAAAATAAAAAAATAAGAAATATAGTGCACATATTTAGCAAAATAGCCCTACTCATTTATACTAATACTAAATCTAAATATTTTATAAAATACTATTTTTTTCTAGCCAACTTAAACTTCTAGAGAACTAACAAGGAACAGGGGAACAGCTGAGTGCAATGAACAGACAGACTAAGTGGCAGAAAGAATGCTGGGAATTGAAGTCAAATGTGAAAGACACGGTGAGAACGAGGACCTCTAGTGACAACCCAGGGAAACACAACCAGACACTGTGACAATGACAATTACTCCTTACAAAAGTAACTTGCGTTACTTTCTTACTTGGGCTGGCTTGCTTGTTTGTTTTTTAATAACAAAAAAAGTTCTATTTTTGGCACATGTAAAGGCCCTTTCACACCAACTGTTAAATAAATAAGCCTCAGGTTTAAGGAAATGCAAATTCACGCCACAGTAGGGTGCAGCTCAAACAAACCTTTCAGCTGAGCTGCCATTCTGGGTGCAAGGGAAGAAAGTTACTCTTACTTCAGTAACAAAACAAACAAACAAACAAACAAACTTATATTTAAGTCTATCCAAAGTTTATATAAAGTAATTTTTGCTTTTTTTTGTGCTCAACTTGAACCTCATGAGGCTCATGTCATGAGACAAGTTATTGTGCACAATTATGTCTGTTTTTAGTATAAATAATACAGATTTGGGGAGGACACAAGTAATAACACAGACTATTAAATTACCTCCACATAGTGTTCCCCTTCATAAGCTAAAGTGACTGAGCATATCAAAGATTTGCAGGTAATCGGGGCAGGTCAAGATGGACCCCAAGGATAAACATAAGACCGCTTTTATAACATGGCAAGGGCTATTTGAATTTAATGTTTTGAATTTTGGATTATGCAATGCAAGCACATTCCAGCGCCTTATGGATTTGGTTTTGGTGGATTTGCAGTGGACCACTTGCCTTGTTTATATTTAGATGATTAAGATTATTGTTTTTTTGGAGAACATTTGGGGAACATCTACAGCGAGTTTGCCGAAATTGCACGACCATTACACTGTTTCATAGAGATAGGTCGGAAGTTTAAGTGGGATGATAAGTGCCAGCGGCTGTTTGTATACAGCTCAAAACAGTTCTTGTGACAACTCCAGTCCTTGCATCCTGACCTGCAAAAGCCATTCATTCTAGAATGGCTAGAATGAATGGCAAAAGCCATTTTTTTTGCAATTTTTTTTTAACGTTGCGGTTCAGGGCTTCTGTAATTTTGCTCAGTACAAATAAAGAGATAAAAGAAGTGAGGTTAGGTTGTGCAGTTCCTTAACCGATTGAGGTGTGGCGAATTAGGTCCCATGATTAGAGTTAGTTGAGGTAAACACCGCCCCTACTACAGTACAACATCCACACAAACTCGTCAGCTGAGCTCAGAGCCTCAGTCTGGAAGCAGAACAAGTCGCACATCGTTCAACAAACAGCCATGCACTTTCTGCTCAAATTTGCGTCGCTGGTTTTAGCGGTATCCGTCTGCCACGGGTGGCTCTTCGGCGACTTTGTTGGAAAACAGAAAGAGCTGGATGAAATCTCTCTCTGGCCGCTACCGCAGAAATTCCAGTCGTCCGCGGTCGCTTTTAAACTCAGCCCCGCCAGATTTCAGATCGTCCACGCGAAAGAGTCCTCCGCCGGACCGAGCTGCAGTCTACTGGAGAATGCGTTTCGCAGGTAAGTTACTGTAAAATATCTCATTTATATTTATGCTGACCTTGTCCTATGAAAGACGCTAATGTTGAGTTTTAACAGGAAGTACACCACGTCAAACATACAGTAGCCTAAGCAATCGAATTGGGTTCATGAACTGACCATTTGCTTTGCAGATATTTTGACTACATGTTTGGCGAACTGAAGAAGCACGAGAAGAGCCGAAAGAAAGCGTTTGATTCCGATCTTGTGGAGCTAAAGGTATGGATCACAGCAGCTGATCCGGAGTGCGACGGTTACCCGAGTCTGCAAACCGACGAGTCATGTGAGCTCTTCTCCCTTCCGGCTCTGTGATCCACAACATAACCTTAATGCTCTCTAATCCAGTAGAAGATAGGAAAATCCAATAATAGACACCTGTTTGTCGGAGTTGTAATCTGGTTAATGTATTAACCCTGACGAGGTCATTTTAGATGTAGTAACATTTGATCAATGGAAAGTATTTTGTTACGTTTTTCTTTTTAATATGTTACCAAAAAGAAATACCTTTTTTGTGTGTTTTTATTACATGTAGTTACTATAGTAATAACTGAAAGTATGCACAGTTAAGTACACACTTAATAAGTAGTTACTTAATATTACTCAGTACTTAAATGTATAATTACAGTGTAACTTTAAAAGGCACTTTAAAATAAAGTGTTAAACTGCACTCACTCATTGTTACTTCAATCAGATGTGTTGTGATCAACCTGTGTAGGCTGGGTGTTAGCCAGTGAATGTTTTGGTTGTCTTTTTAACTGTAACAACATTTTGCTCTCTTTGTGTAGATGAGCTGTCAGTCGACGAACCCTCTGCTGTACTGAAAGCTGCTAATGTATGGGGAGCTTTGCGAGGTAAGCAAAACTCCACAATGGTGTTCTTGTGAACCTGACAAAATATTCCACAAAAATATTGAGCAGCAAAACTGTTTTCAACATTGATAATAATAAGAAATGTTTATTGAGCACCAAATCAGCTTGTTCGAATGATTCCAGGATCAAGTAGTGTACATTTTACAAACTCCTCTAACAAGCACAAACAAACATTAAAGTATTTTCTCGGTGACATTTGTAGGTCAGGGGCAATTTAAAATAGGTCACATGCACTGGTTATCTCGTTTAACAACCCCATATACTTTAAGATATCAGGCCAATTCTATGCGATCCCAACATAATAAACTATGAGAAGAGAATGCAGTCTTCATATTCTGTCAATATAGGATATTTTATCATCATATGTGATTTCCTCAATGTGTAACTTCCTTATGCTTATTGTTGTAAGGACTGGAGACATTCAGCCAGTTGGTCTATGAGGATGACTATGGAGTTGTAAGTTCAAACCAAACCCTTATTTGCTTCATTGTTGTACTTGGTTAAGGCTTTATATATGAATTAATGTCGACCATTGATCCGTCTAAGCTCTTCTCAAATCAAAGCAATCTTTTTTTCTAATCAACAGAACAACATCAATAAGACAGTAATCTCAGATTTCCCACGGTTTGCCCATCGAGGGATCCTCCTGGACTCGTCTCGCCACTTCCTGCCACTCAAAGTCATTTTGGCCAATTTGGTGAGCTGAAATAATTTTCTTTATAATGACAGGCTTGACATAAACACATACATGGGTCTAGGGGGGCATTTTCTTTTTCTTTTTTTTTTTTTACCAGAAAAATTGGCTGAGTAAATGGTGACTTAGCATTTTTTCATTAATGTAGTTTCCTCATTAGAAGACATGTCGGCTAAGTAGCTCATGGATGTTATTTTATTTGCAAGAATGCAAATACAGGTTCTACACATTCACATGTGACAGTAATCACAAGATAAGATGACTCATTACAAGGTTTATCTAGAAAAAAATGTGGCCAGCGCAGTGATGAGAATTTGTTTGTCCGTACCGTAGCTTTGTAATTTGATCTAGAATTACACCTTCCTATCAATGGACATTGGTGCAATGACCTTCCCAGGTTTTGAAATGCTTCTTATTCCACATTGTTCAGTAAAGACACATCTAATTTTCACAGGAAGCTATGGCGATGAACAAGTTTAACGTATTCCACTGGCACATTGTGGACGATCCGTCATTTCCTTATATGAGCCGCACTTTCCCTGAGTTAAGTCAGAAGGTGAGTATGTGATGCACACACACATAACCTGTTTTGGATTCATGCTTGACTGCCTCAGGGCACAAAAAATATTGTAGACTTCATTTTGTTAGTGGATTACCACGCTAGAATCATAAAAGTGTGGCTCCATCTCCTATTATCACTTTTTTTTGGTGGTTAACATCATATAAATAGGTGAACACAAGTTAGTGTATCAAACTATAAGTACACTGAAACATTCCAGGTTTATTTAAGGCATCTTTTAAAATACATTTTTAGTTTTTTAAATGTGTAGTTAAATGTGTATACTTTTTTTGTATTTTGCTGCATTGAAAGCGAAAGGTAAGGAATAAAAATGAACAAAAAATGATTATACTGCCGTAGGACGTGTCAGCTTCCTTTAGAGTAGAAATTACACCTTATATCAAAAGCATTAGCTTCAGTTCAAATGCACTGTAAAATTGTCACTGACTGGGGGCGTGTTTATTTTTGTGTATTGATCACGTTTTCCCTACTTGTTTTGTGACTGACAGGGAGCCTTTCACCCATTCACACATGTGTACACTCCATCTGACGTGAAGATGGTCATTGAATTTGCCCGTATGAGGGGGATCCGGGTCATCCCGGAGTTTGACACACCAGGACACACAGAGTCATGGGGCAATGGTTAGTTGGTGGACAAGATAAATTAGGGCTTTATACAGTCATGTTTCAGTTACCGATTAATATAACAACTGTTTTCTCTCTGTCGCTCCTTCCCATAGGCATGAAGGATCTGCTAACACCCTGTTACAGTGGTTCTACTCCTTCTGGAACATTTGGGCCCGTGAACCCCATCTTAAACTCCTCTTATGAGTTCATGGCCCAGTTTTTCAAAGAGATCAGCACTGTCTTCCCTGATGCCTACATTCACCTGGGGGGAGACGAGGTTGACTTCAATTGTTGGTGCGACAAAGAGAGGAGCTTCTTACTCCAGAATACACAATGCCAACAATCATATTGTATATCACACAATACTTATATTTTACTCATTGTTCCTGTAGGAAGTCCAATCCTGATGTTCAGAAGTTTATGGAGCAGCAGGGTTTTGGCACAGACTACAGCAAACTGGAGTCCTTTTACATTCAAAGGTCAGAGCTTCAGTAAAGTCAGATAGTCCATTTATTTTGGCTTATAATATAAATTACAAGATGGTTATGATAAAGTATAAATCAGAACAATCTGGCAAAGTTATTCTTATTACATTATTCATCAATGACAATCAGGTTACTTGATATTGTGGCTGCTACCAAGAAAGGTTACATGGTGTGGCAAGAAGTGTTCGATAATGGGGTGAAGGTAAGGCTCATCTCTTCTTATCTGTGTGGATGTGCTTGTGCTGTTAGAAAGTAATGTAGATAAATAAAATTCAAATTGAGACTTTACAGTCTTAATTGGGATCTTGTTTATTGGAAGCTTAGTTAGACTAAGCTGTTATTATTAAATGACAAATTCTAGTAGATCGACAATGCCTTGTAACTTCAAAGCCTAATCTACTTTAACCTTCTTAATCACAAATAGCTTGACTTGCGTGCTTGCTTTTTCACAAGCCACTGCTAGCATGCCACTAAATTGGCGTTTTTAACTGTGCTTGCAAGTAAATGTATTTGTTTGCTTGTAACAATTTAACAGCCAAAAAGAGAAAAAAAAAATGTGTGCATAATGTTCCAGCTGAAGGATGACACTGTTGTGGAAGTGTGGATGGGGAACAAGATGGAGGAGGAGCTACAGAATGTGACTGGGGCAGGATTTACTACCATTCTTTCTGCTCCTTGGTACCTGGACTACATTAGCTATGGACAGGACTGGCAACACTACTACAAGGTTGAGCCACTCAGTTTCCATGGTCAGTTTCTTCAGCCAAAGTCTCATTTAGTTTGTTTTAGCACCATTAGTTTATTATTAATTATCGTCTTGTGATCGTTTGCCATTTAAAGTTAAAGATGGTCCAGATTAAGCTAGTGAAATAAGTAAGTTTTAAAAATAAGTTTTAATGAAATATATTTTAAAAAAGATTTGTATAGATTAGATTTTCAAGCACTATACTTTTTTTTTATATATATATATATATTTAACCTGGTTTTTGCATTGAAAATAGTCATGTAAGCTGTACTTGTGTTACATCACAAATAGGTTTGGGGGTTGAGGATGTTGCCTGGGTAGAGTTGGTCTATAGGTCTTTAGTGTGGTGCAGGTATGAGGTCATTTTGTTGGCAAAAACACTAACGCATTTTAGCGCTTCCAGTTCAATCGTCCCCAAGTCAGTGTTTTTTTTTTTTTGGCTAAATGGCTGAAATAAGGTCTGTGGTGAATACAAGCTCAAGACACTTCCACCTTTTATTCTATGACACAAAATGCATCAATATTATCCCACTCGGGATTTTTTTGAAGCTGTTAAGCGTCTTGTAAAAAGGCGGTTGCTCACAAGTGACTATAGGACTACAGAGGCTGTTGAGGAGATTCAAACTCATCATGCCTTGTTATGCTTATAATTGTGCTTTTCTAAACTCTTCTAACTCAAGCTTTCTGGGAAAATGTTTTTAGACAAAAGCTAAAAAAAGTTGTTGTTGTCAGAATCTTAGTGATGGTGACGTTGAAATTGCGCGACCGTGGTGTAGTTAGTTTATAGCCTACCCTTTAGCTTTTTACTTCTGACGACTGCATTTTGGCTTCAAAATTCACAAAAGTTGTGTTCATTTGTGAAAATGATCTTAAAGGGTTAGTTCACCCAAAAATGAAAATTCTGTCAGTATTTACTCACCCTCATGTTGTTCCAAACCTCTATGTGTTTAATCAAACAGATCTCATTCCCCATTGACTACCATAGTAGGAAAAAATACATACTATGGTAGTCAATGGGGAATGAGATCTGTTTGATTAAAACATTCTTCCAAATATCTTCCTTTATGTTCAGCAGAACAAATAAACCCAAACAAGCAAGTATCATAAACTTTTGCTGATCACAGAGCTTGTTTTTTTGGAATAATCCAAAAGCCTATGGGAAAATCCTATTGGGTTTTTGTTGAGGCAACCAGTGTGATGATAATTACCCGTTGGCCTAAAAAGTGACATCATAGTTGCACCACTCTATTGAGAAACAGCAGCATTTTAATGGACCATGTATTGAATATATAGAACTTCCTGTAGTTTCTGCGCAGTTATTGTAGTGTTTAATTGGGTAACACTTTATTTCGATAGTCCACTTTAGACATTCTACTAACTATAAGTAACTTTTCAACTACATGTCAACTAACTATCATTATAGTATTAGTAGACTGTCAGCTTAATATCTCCTAACACTTTATTTTGTTGGTCCCCCAACAGACATTCAACAGACTATAAGTAACTTGGCGACTACAAGTAAACTTATTCTCCTAACCCAAAGCCTAACACCTAACCAACCTAACAGTCTACTGATAATATACTAACACTCTAATGAGAGTTACTTGACATGTAGTTGAAAAGTTAGTTATAATTAGTGGAACGTCTAAAGTGACTATCGAAATAAAGTGTAACCTTTAATTGTGATTCTGTCGGTCTCTCTATAGCTCGTTTTTGTTTGTCACTCACTACTACGTTGTGGTGTTTAGTTTTAAGTATTTATATTAGTGTGTTTGAGCACCCCGATCAACACTTGACACATCTGGAGTTCAGTTGTTGAAGACATTGCAAACATTTCCTGTACGCTTTGGAAAGAATGCATGTCATCTAGTGTCACTAGCAATTATACACTACCATTAAAAAGTTTGGGGTCGGTTAGATTTTTTTCTAAATGTATTTGAAAGGAAGTTTATAATGCTCACAAAGGCCACCATGAAAGTCAAAATCAATTCTTTCTGAAAATAAAACCTCAGAATAGTTCCTCCTCCACCTTGCTCCAACTTTGTTAAAATCAATATGCCAATATCACTGGAAAAAATGCCTACATCTTATTAGATGCTACTTTATGAAACAGCAGTTTTAAAGGATAGAAATAAACATTCTGTCATTATTTACTCACCCTCAAGTTGTTCCAAACCTGTATGAATTTCTCTCTTCTGCTGAGCACAAAAAAAGATATTTTGAAGAAAATGGTAACCAAACCGTTCATGGGCCCCATTGACTTCAATAGTATGGGAAAAAAAAATCTATGTTAAGCAGAATAGAGGAATTTATACAGGTTTGGAATAACTTGAGGGTGAGTAAAAGTAAATGACAGGATTTTCATTTGGGTGAAATATCCTTTACCTGTTGTCAGGCTCAAATGCTATTGACTAATGATCTAATGAGAAAGCATGCATGTTGATTCAGTCAAAGATGAGCATCTGACATTATGAAACTCAATGGGCATATTTCTCTGGACTACATGTAGTGTCAATTTTGATAAACAGTAAATATTTTTTTACAATTGGCTTTATGCACAGCTGCAATACTTACTGAACTTCAGCCAGCTCCTTGTTTCCTGCTGCCATTATTGAACAAATTGATTAATCCAGGTGTGCCTGACCTCAGTAGTCGCGACAACAATAATCAGACACACCTGAATTAATCAAATTTGTCCAATAATGACAGACAGGAAGCAAGGAGCTGGCTGAAGTTTAGGAAGTAGTGCAGCTGTGCATAAAGCCAATTGATCTATGGCTAAGCCACGCCCCCTCCACCCACTCGAAGTCACCTAAAGGACCATTGAAGGGTTATATTAATAATTTTATTGTTGAGATAGTCGATGAAAAGCTTCAGCTCCAGGCAAAAATGTACAGGTCACAGTGCAAACGCGATAAACCGCATATCGTTGCCATCATCGTTTGGTGCTAAATTATTTACATGAATCATCAGTAGCACCTCATTGCAGTGCACGAGATCGAGGGGGCGGAGTTGGATCCAGATCTAAGGGGTGGAGATGGGTGGGATTAGGGATCAGGGGGTGGAGATGGGTAGGGTTAGGTATATGTAAGGTGGGAGGAGTTGGGTCTGGATCCAACTCCTCCCCCTGGATTTCGTGTTCTGCAGTGAGGACCATCTCTGAATCATTCAGCACAACATTGTTAACGTTTCTTATCTCGGTTATTTACAGATACGTTAATGAAGCTAAGTGACATGATGTACAACGCAGCTAGAAGCTAACGGTAACGTTTTCTAATGCTAGGCTAACTTTAGTCTAACTTACGTAAGAGATTTTAAAGATAACGTTCGCCCAGCCTCTCGGGAACCTAGTGTCGGAGTGGCATGTACCCCATGCACACCGTTTGACCATTTTAAACTTAAAATGACAAGAAAAAACGAATGAAAACTGACTAACTGCAATGCATTTCAAGGCCTTGTAAAGACCTTAAATGGAGTCCAGAAGAATTTGTCTTCATTGATGTGTGTCCGTTTGTGTGTTGTACTGTACATGCGTGTGTATGTGTACACATGTAGCTGAAAGCCGACACACAGATCCATGTGTGGAAAGCACGCCCGCAGTACCAAGATGAGATGGCGCAGGTAACGGCAGCTGGTTTCAGTGTTCTTCTCTCCACACCCTGGTACCTCAACCGCATCAGCTACGGCCAGGACTGGGTGAACATTTACAAAGCCGACCCCCAAAATTTCACTGGTGTGTGTCATTCGCAGATTTATTTTGGGCCTCTGTTTCTATTCGATCTGTTCTGTTTCTAATTTGTTAAACAACATTTCAAGGTTTGGGGTAAACAAAACATAAACAAACAAACCATGACTGTTCACACAATACATGATTATGCTAGCTATGTTGGAATTTACCTCTTAAAAAAAGAGTTGAGTCGGTTAATGGGTCAATCTGGTAAATATTCTTGTTTAAGGAAACTGAGGTTAGGTTTTAAAGGTCAGCCACACTGAATCAAAAGCAACAGTGAATATCAAAGGTGGCATGTGATTTTAGACGATAATTTACAGTCTCCTTAAATCAGTGAGTTTCAGTTCTTTCAGTCCAAAGCTTTGTTATAGTAATGGCACTGTCAGTGACCCGTTTTCCTTTAGTGGATATGCATACAAACATGCTTGTCACGTGACTATGGCACTTTGTACAGACTGACAGTTTTATTGTCTATTTGGCCACAACCCAGTTAAAATGGTTTTCTTTGTCTCCAGGTATTCTGGTGTTTGTTTGGGGTGTTTGACATATGGATACAATAGACACATATAGAGTCTTACTGCTTAAGGATTCAGTCTCAAACAGGATCAACTCATTGCTGCTTAGTCTGACCATTTTTTTATCCTTTCATTGTTGTAAAATATTCAGTGAATTGAATATGTTGCCCACCCATGGAGGGAAGTCTTGCGACGGCTTCTATCCGTTTGAATTGTCTTGCACTAATCACAGTCTTACAATTAAACTAAATCTATATACTCTGACAACAGGCACAGATGCACAGAAGAAGCTGGTGATTGGAGGAGAAGCTTGTCTCTGGGGAGAGTATGTAGATGCCACTAACCTCACTCCTCGACTCTGGTATGACTGCAACCTTAACTAAGAAAAAAAATATATAACTCAACTGTACCAACAAGTTACAACTCAAAGACTAACCATATACAAAAAGCAATTCATTAATAGTGCAATATGTAAAACAAAAGTGAAAGCTAAATTATGGAGTTTATACCAAAACTGAAACCAAACCAAGTTTTTATTTGTATATTAAGAATTATGTAACTATGTGTACTTTTGTTGTTGTGCCATTGCAGGCCAAGAGCCAGTGCTGTTGCTGAGAGGTTATGGAGTGATAAAAGCGTGACGGACGTCAGTAATGCCTATAATCGTCTGGCCCAGCATCGCTGCCGCATGGTCAAGTGAGTTAAACTATGACAAGTGGCAAATTCATTCATGCAATCCCTAATAATAATAATAATACAACGTATGGTTGCTTTTTATCTTTTTTATTCTTGAATTATTACTATGTTTAATAATCATGATGCTTAGTTTATTTTTGGATTTATTTGTTTTTATTTATTTTTTAGCTTCTTGATTGCTTTATTTATTTTTAATGAGGTTCGGTTAATTTCTTATTTACTAGCCATTTCCACCAACAACACAAAGTAAATTCTAAAGATTTGCACAGGCATATTTTTGTATATTTCACTGTTGAAAGGTGTTTTTTTTCCCCCAATCAGGAGAGGCATTCCTGCAGAACCTCTATTTGTTGGCCACTGCCGTCATGAGTACAAGGGCCTGTGAACTTCAGGATTTAATTCACGGTAGACAATTAAAGGGAATCGCAGGACAACATTTTAAAGCGTCAAACCATGTTAGCCATTCCAATACCATGATTTGCTGTTTTATGCACTGAACCAGTTATCCAAAACTTGATTATACATTTTAAATGGACACTTCTGGTGCATCTGTAAATTTTCTTAAATGGTAATGAATATTCGTGTGAATAAATGTGATGGAATTTGAAGTCTTTGAAATTAGGTCTTCTTTTTAATTACTTTCCAAAGCTAGGTATAAGTGTTTTATAAATTAAATATTTAAATAAACCATGGCTGCATTGTTTTTGTAATATTGTTATATCACTCACTCACTCACTCACATCTTCTGGACTATATGGAAGCAGCCAATCACAGAACAATCAAAATTTGTATCTGTATATATGGTCAGTTCAGCTGGTGACAGTTACTGGTTCAACTCAGTCCAGCCATCTTGTTGAGCAGTGTGTTCTGGTCCTGAGTGTTCATGGGCTCATAGCTGGACAGCTCCAGAGAAAAGGTGGCATTCCCAGAGGTCAAAGTGCGCAGAGCGGTCGAGTAGCCCTTGTGGCAAAAAATAATATTTATATAAAATTTGTATTCCCAATGTAGTTATGAAGTACATGGTAATCATTCGGTGAGTTAAACTTGAATGGCCTTATTATACATATTGATTGTATAATGTGCTTTAACTGACGCATTATGTCATGGTAATATTTTTAGTGACAGAAAGCACTGCACACTTACCATTATTTCAGCCAAAGGAACTGTAGCCATCAAAACCTTGTTTTCCTGTCGAGTTTGGATGTCGCATACAGTACCACGTCGCTGGGCGAGATCTGCAAGCACAGAACTCAGATGGTCCTCACCTACTGTCACTTCCAGAGCCATCACAGGCTCCAAAACCTGCCCTCCAGCCAACTTCAGAGCCTGCAGCAAACAGAGAAGGACATAAAGTCAGATGTGACGTTATTTGAAAATGCTTGAGACAGGGTAGCGTTTGAGTACCTTTAGCATGCAGCGGGACACACAGGCTGACACCATGGCTGCAGAAGTGCCTGGTTCCAAACCTACATGCTGGATAACTGTCTTTACTCCCTGTAGAGGAAAAGCCAGCACAGGACCTGCACAGAGGAAGAAAGGGGAGATGGGTAACCAATAAAGTATATGGCAGACAGGGACATTAGACCAATAGACAGGCCCAAGTGTACAGCAAAACTATAGCAGAACAGCCAAAGTATCAGTTACACACCACTGTTTGTGTAAACCATGATAACTTAAGATGTAATGATAATTAGAAAGTCTAGAAGAACATAATTTATCTGAAATTAAAATCTTTTGTAACATTGTAAATGTCTTTCCTGTCTTTGTAAAAAAAAAAAAAAAAAACAATATATACAATAATATATGAATCTGACCCTAAACTTTTGAATGTTAGTGTATATGAACGTAATGAATGGCCCTGTTACAAAAGTTTTAAAGTAACTATTTTGATTACCTTGGAGGTAGGCGCTCGCGACTCCATTTTCAACAGCCTCTCTGACATCAGCAGGGAGATGAGCTTTTACTTCCTCCTCAAAAGTCACGTCACAAGAAGTTGTAGACTCCTGCATCAGAGCATGGACAGCAAGCTCCACAGTAACAACATGCCTCTTGTCTCCCAGAGTACGATCTAACGAGTCTGAAATGATCATACAAATCATGCTGGAATTTAGTTGTACTTTAATATTTGTAAGACTGTTAGGTTATGGTTAGTAGAATTAGTCATCATGTACTTGCAAAGGTACTTATAGCCGAGGGCTACTCAACTCTGGTCCTCGAGGTCCACTTCCCTGCAGAGTTTGCCTCCACCTTCACCTTCCTATCGACAAGTTTCCGAGGGGCGCTCATGTAAAAAATAAAGTGGGTGAAACTTCCGGTGAGGCGGCGGAAGTGGCTTTCCAATGGTATTTTGTGTGTTAGTTAGAGAAGAGGCTAGCTGTTTTTCGGAGAATTATTTTACTATTTAAAGACGCCAATCTTTATGAGAGATGTCGTTACGGAGCTCAGGGACAACATGCGCTGTTCGCGGTTGTATGTATAACCGGACTAAACTAATTCTGTGGCTTAAATGTGATTGTTTTGAACATAAGCTGAAAACGAAATCAGAGTGATCCTGCCAGAGCCCGTCTCTGATCCTGCCAACGACTGAAGTTTCCATCACTTCCCAAAAGACGACGAATCTTCCTGTGTACATTTGTTTAAATTCTTAATATTCTATAAACTCTCTCAGCATGTGATTGGCTGTTCGCTATACTGATGTTACACCTAAACTCAGGATCAAAGCCTGAGGTGACAGAATACCAAATGTGCCAGTTAATGTATTCAAGCAGCACATTCATTTATAATTTTGAATAAACTCCAAAGCACAATGACTAAGTGTGTATTTTTTATTTTAATTGTTTGTCAGCTCACACAACTGTCTGTCAACATGCCTTGATGAGTATTGATTATTAATAATGTTATTACAGTATAATACTCCCAATCAACTACTGCGGAGGGTAAAGGTACTGTTATTTCACCCTTTTTAATTTCGTTGAGGTTGTGTTCCCACATCGTTAGCTAGTTTGGATCGCTATAACTTGAATGACTGTCAACTGTTGAATGAACGAGTGTCAAGCATGTCAAGTAGCGCTTTGTTTACTTCAAACCGGAAGTCGCGCCCACTTTTGACGCAAGGCCTCATGGGGCGTAGGAAACTTGTGGATAACTTTCTAGTAATCCTTAAGACATAAGTAGCAGCTTCAGGTGTGTTTGATTAGTGTTGGAGCTAAACTCTGCAGGACAGTGGAGTTTAGAAGCCTTTTATAGTCAGTAGAATGTCTGTTGGGGGATATAAAGCCGACAGTCTACTAATACTAAGATAAGTTGACATGTAGTTGAAAAGCTACTTCTAGTTAATAGAATGTGTTACCCCAAAAAGAAATGATTAATACGCACTGCTGATATCAATTTTTTGGTGTCAGTAAGATTTTTTTGTTTAGAATAAAAAATATAAAACAGTTACTTTAAATTGCAATAATGTTTCACAATACTACTGTTTTTACTGTATTTTTGATTAAATAAATGCAGCCTTTGTGAACATAAGAGACTTACTGACCCCAAACTTTTGAACATAGTGTACAATGTAACAGGGCATGTGACTGGTCATATATGCAGTTTTGTTTTTCCCTTTATTGTTTTATGCTAGTCTTTGCCATGGACAAAGTCTATTGTAACCAACATTTTTACTGAATAACAAAACAGGGAAGCAGACAAACAAAACAGATGAACTGTCACTGGGAAATAGTTGAGGTAGACAGAGGTAGACTTTGGTGACAGTTTGCATGGCCTTACCTGTGGCAGTTGCTGACTGGACGATGGTTTCTCTGTAGGCCACCTGCAAGGGTCCTAGATGTGTTTCGATGTTGTACTCTCTCTTTATACGGTCATGGATGATCTCAATGTGCAGTTCTCCCATGCCACACAGTACCGTCTGTGTGTATGTGATTAAATAAGTGAATTAATAAGTTGTAGAGCAGGAGAAGAATTTAAGAAATATTCTTAATTTAAGAAATATTCTTAATTTAAGAAATGAACAATATAAGAAGAATTTATACAGGTTTGGAACAACTTGATTTTTATATTTGGGTAAAATATCCCTTTGAGGTCCATAGCACAAATGATGCAGGACGAGTTATTTGTCAAAATGTGATGCAAATCACTAGACTTAAGATGGAACAACAGTAAATGTAAAGTGTCCCTGTTATGCCTTTTCAGATATTACCTTTCACGTCGGGTGTAAAATAGCATTTTTTTGATAGTAAAAGGTCTGAAAAGTGTCAAAGATCAAAGTGCACAATAAACGGGAAAAAAATTCTGAACTGCCTGAAACAAGCTGTCAATAATTACTTCTAATTACTCACTCCCTACACAAACCTACGTAGGTTTTTGAAAAATAAACATAATGCTAGCCCAGTGTTTCCCAACCCTGTTCCTGGCGGCACACCAACACTGCGCGTATTCTTTGTCTCCCTCATCAAACACACCTGATTCAACTCATCAGCTCATAATCAGATGGGTTAATGAGCTGATGAGTTAAATCAGGTGTGTTTGATTAGGGAGACAAAGAATACGCGCAGTGTTGGTGTGCCGCCAGGAACAGGTTTGGGAAACACTGTGCTAGCCTATGGTATTCACTGCTCACGAATAGAGTCTACTTTTCCAGAGCTCAGGTACAACTAGTGTTTGAGGGCGAAAACAAATACACTTCGCATGCACTTTGGACCAGGACAGTAAAACCAACACCATCATCACTGTCCATATTACTGTGTATAAAAGTGCTGAAGTAGCCTCAGAACCTGAAATACAGATATGGTAATAAGTGTTTCATTTCCAGCAGGTTCTGTTAGCACGGTTCATTTGATTAAGTGTGAAAGCTACTAAATGAACTCTAAAAATGCAACACGGACCAAAGACGTCTAAATGAACCAAAAACAGGGCGTGATGTCACAAGATGCGACCAGTTTTATCTCGTCATAGGAGCAACGTTGCCCTTTACAGTTCAGTACAGTTGTTAGAACACGGTCTCCTTCGTTTGTGTGCAACAGAGGAATTGCTGCAGCTGTTTTGACCCCTTTATACATTTTATAAACTTTTCATGAGTTATCAGCTGGCCAAAATACCATCATATACTGTATGTGTGCACATACAACGAGCGCCCAGTACACAGCATTGTTTTATATGTTCGTTAAGTTCTCTCACAAATTATTATTTTTTGCATCTTTAGGTTTGGTCTTAAAAATGAGATCCTAATGCATGATGGGATACGCTTAGCCTCGAATACCGTTCCGATGCGGTATACAACAGCTTTGGCAGCTTTGTGCGCATGCTCTCAAGTGGCCAAAACCGCAAGTGTGGATGATTGGAAATGCCCATTGTTTGTTACGAACGTTCAACATTTATGTTTTATGTGGCAAGAGAAAGTTACATAACCTATGCAAAATCCGATCAGGGCCGTCAGACTGAAATAGATTTCGAGAAATGCTATTTGCTATAGGATTTCAAACCACGAATGTAGGTTGATAAGGATTTTTAAAAATCAAATTATGTGATTTATAGCCGTTCACACAAGCGGATATGCACAAAAATCAAATTTGGATCGACAGTCTGAACGTAGCCTAAATGTATTATAAACCAAGAGGACTGAACTACAAGTGTAAACAAATGACTTTACCTGTCCAGAATCAGGGTCTGTTCTGACTTTCAGGCTTGGGTCTTCCCTC